AATAACTTGTCATATAAATAATGATAATGTAACAAAATAACTTGTCATATAAATAATGATAATTAACAAAATAAATTGTCATATAAATAATGATAATACAACAATAACTTGTCATATAAATAATGATAATCCTTGTATTACTTTACACTTGTGCTGTGTTTTAATTTTTGTTTTTTTTTACTAGGCATTATGAAAGTATATAATTAGTTAAAAATGCCCATGAACTCCAACTAACTTGGTGCTAACTCAGGCCCCGACAAATATTTTCAGATCTAGGAGCCACGTCAGTTATAGAAAAGTTATGGAATATATTTTGAGTCGGTTGTGTGGTTCTGGCACGAGACGTACAGTTTTACACTAATAAACAAAGGGTTCATTAGTAAACTTTATTATACGAGACGTACAGTTTTACACTAATAAACAAAGGGTTCATTAGTAAACTTTATTATATAACTTAGGTGGATCCTTACACTGAATGAAAGTAAAATAAAAATAATCACTGTAATATTGATAGGCTAAGCAGGTGTTGTTTTGGAATAGGTATAATGTACTCATCACTACAACACTGTACAACGATAAAGGCCTTTCGGTGTGCCTAACCTAACTTCACTACTGTTTGTATCAGGAAATGTGGGCTACGTATATTTATTTACTTTCATGGCAACGAGTACGTGCTAACAATCACTTGATATCAACAACTACTTGATAGTATTGCCTGAACTAATTGCTTTTGGACCCGTCTGAGTCTAAACATGTGCACTGATTGATTGAATTAAGAGAAAGAAGAAAAACAAAATGGTATGAATTTAGTAACATGTTGTGTAACCACAGTGTTTCATTTCTGAAAAACCACGAAGAAGTACTGAATCTACCATTGAAATCCTGGAAACAAAGTTTGGTTTAGGACTTGGATAACATGAAAATAGTTCCGGACTTCCAAGAGTCCAGAGCTATTCTAGATTCAAGTTCTGTTTAGCATGAATAAGATGGGAGAAAATACAATGAAATTTTTAGTTGCCATGGTGACCTGGCACCTGGGATTTGTCGAGGCCTGTGTTAAGTATTATTAGTGTTTTTTTTTAACAAACATTACAAAGACTAGCAGATATACCCTCCCTCCAGGCAATTATAACTGCTGGTTCCTGCAGAAGGCTATTGGACTTGCAGCCTTTTCTGGAATTGTCTGACAGTTCTACAACAACGTACTCAAACTTGACAAACAATAATGTTCACCATCCATGAGAAAAAGGATTTTTATTGTTGTACTGTGTCTCATAACCTTGTATTACTTTACATTAGTACTGTGTCTCAATAATCTTGTATTACTTTACATTAGTACTGTGTCTCAATAACCTTGTATTACTTTACATCAGTACTGTGTCTCAATAACCTTGTATTACTTTACATCAGTGCTGTGTCTCAATAACCTTGTATTACTTTACATCAGTGCTGTGTCTCAATAATCTTGTATTACTTTACATTAGTGGATGGACTGTGTGTTTATCTACAAATGTGGTAAGTTTACTTCTCTAGCCAGCTGAGTTTTCTTGATAAAACAGTGATGAATACGTAGTATAAATCAGAATTTTATATTTGTATTTAAAAGAAATAAGATGATTACCTGATATAAACCAGACTTTTATAAATAAAATGTTCTAACTATACCCAAAACATCTGATCTCAACAGACCAATATTTCTATTGTATTTAAGATAGATATTGACATTTGATTGTTTTTACTCTTTGACCTTTTCAGGCATGATAAGTTTATCACAGTTTGAGATACAGTTGTGTTGTTAGCCGGTTGTTCAATTTTGGTCTGAAGTTTTGAATTAGGAGCACTTCCTTTTTTTTATTAATGTCTGTTTGTCTGTTGCTTTGAAGTGTTCCATGTTAGGCTTCTTGCTACAGTCTTTGCTTAGATGATTGTGAATTCCAGATTTGTTGGAAGGGCTGTTTTGCTCCTTTACCTTGTTTGCTAGGGCTTGTCATTGTCCTAATTCTATTGTAATTTCTGTAAATTATTTAAACACATGAAATTTGCTAGCTGTACCCGAAATAAAGTTTCTATAAAAAACATATTTTTTTCGTTATTGACAAGAAATGTTGCTTAAGAAATAAGTACCTTGTTTTCAGATATTGGATGATGGCGGAGATGCTACTCACTTGATGTCTAAGAAGCACCCTGCCCTCTTTAAGATGATAAAGGGCATTGTCGAGGAGAGTGTTACTGGTGTTCACAGGCTCTACCAGCTCTCTAAAGCTGGAAAGCTATCGGTTCCAGCCATGAACGTCAATGATTCTGTAACAAAGGTGAATAATCAAAGTGAAACACACACATTATGTGGTGCAAGTCTTCTGTGTCTGAATAAGTAACTGTACGTAACATCACGTGTTATATACATGTATGTCTGAATGGCAGTACACCCATGATACATGTATTACAAGATTCTGAATACTATATTTGTGCTTAGCATGACTGTTTCACTTGCCGCCTTGCCAGTTTTACAATCCCTATTTGATCTGCATAATGTACCCAAGCTAAATATCAGGAAATGGGGATAGAGGGAGACTTCAGAATAATAAGATAGAAATCGGGTAAACAGTAGATGTTTTATATCCACATTCCTTTTATATTGTTCATGATTAACACATATGTTAGGCCTATGATTAACACATATGTTATGATTCACACACATGTTAGGGCTATGATTAACACATATGTTATGATTAACACACATCCTAGGCCTATGATTAACACATATGTTAGGCCTATGATTAACACATATCCTAGGCCTATGATTAATACATATGTTATGATTAACACACATGTTAGTGCTATGATTCACACATATCTTAGGCCTACTGCCTTTTAATGCTGAAGTGAATGTTATTTTATATTTTAGTATAGAATGGCCATCTGCAGTAAGATACTTTATACTGTTTCAATCCAGATACTTGTTGCTTAGATACCCAAGTTTCTGTCCAAATTGAGCCTTTTTAACTTTTAAAAAAATTAAAAACAAAGTTTCATGTAATTGAAATGAGTTTTGATATTCAAAAATATTTTAAAAGAAAACATGGCACAGAAGATTTTACACATACAAATAGAATATTTAAGTATTTATTAACATTTAATAGGTGAAATAATTATGGTACACTAACTAAGAAGAAGAATATTACTAATAGTCCCAAACAATAAATAGTAAACGGTTGTTTGAAATATTGAGTTTATCAGTAGTAGGATATTTAAATGAAAATCCTTTACAAACTCAAAACTTTTTTCATTTTTTAACGCATGTGACATCTGAATAATGTAGAGTTCTAAAAATGATTATTATAATGTACTAATTTATCACTCAGTTACCTACTTTTTTGTTAGCATGATGGAAAAATGAAATTTGTATTAGACAATAAAAGTGTATAGGAAACACTGTAAAAATATCTCAATGAATTGTGCTTGGTTTTAACTATAAGTTTTTTTTTTATACCTGTTTTTCACAGACTAAATTTGATAATCTCTACAGTTGTCGGGAAAGTGTTCTGGATGCGTAAGTAGTTTTTATATAGTTGTGTCACAAGTAATTATTATTATTTTTAAAGAAAAAAAGTACAATTTAAAACTTTTGTTTTTAAGAATTCAATAACCTTGTATTACTTTACATCAGCACTGTGTCTCAATAACCTTGTATTACTTTACATAAGTACTGTGTCTCAATAACCTTGTATTACTTTACATCAGTGCTGTGTCTCAATAATTAACCATTTGTCTAAACACACAGTCCATTGTTAACCATTTGTCTAAACACACAGTCCATTGTTAACCATTTGTCTAAACAAACAGTCCATTGTTAACCATTTGTCTAAACACACAGTCCATTGTTAACCATTTGTCTAAACACACAGTCCATTGTTAACCATTTGTCTAAACACACAGTCCATTGTTAA